TGTGGGTGCCAACCGTCTTGCTGGAAACATTCAATCTTGAGCCAATATCCTACAGCGTTGTATGTGGATTTTCTTCCACTAACGTTCTCAATTGTTCGTTGTCAATGGCGGAAGACCGCCCACCACGCTCATCATCTTCCAGGATCTCATTACGGATACGGAATTTTTCTAAACATCACTGTGCTCTACGTTGATTCGTCGTACCTACACCAAGGGCATCGTTGATATCCCGGGCCGTTTCAGTCGCACTCCTGCCTAATTTGAATTGGAAAAGATAAATCGTGCAAAACTGTCGCTTGTCCATGCTGATTTCGACCTTCTACAAAACACTACGAATCACTCCAGGACAAAACCAATTATATATTTGAATAGAGCAAAAAATGCGCTTCAAAACGGTATAAAGCTTGCAGACAATCTTGTAGCAAATAACACCGCGGCGAGCATTTGAAAAATGGGCGTCAAAAAACGCAAGAACTTTCTTCACGACCTAATAGTTTGGTCGAACTGGGATTTCTATGCTCTGCAATTATCATTTTTGTGAAACTGTAGTTGAGGAGAGGAGGGGTAGGAGAACGCACCGCTCTTCTGGGGTCGCTTCACGAGGAACCCACAATGGTGCTTGGGAGCGTTTCCTAATTGAGAAATAAAGTTTTTTTTTTTTCAAACTCTTACAACTTAAAATTCCAAGCCAATGGGAACCGGGCTTCCAGCTCTCTGCATCCTACCCAACCCGGTGTTCCTTCCCTCCCAGGCTTAGGTAAAAACCGTATTCTTTTGATTCAGAACCGTCTCTAAGCATATGTATAGTATTTCCTTCTGTCCTCTAGTACTGAATAGGAGTGTTAACAGGGATACATCTCTCCCAACTGCAGGATTGATATCGCAGTATCGCCTTTTGCATGTTCCACGCTACCATCTACTCTCGAAGTCTTTTTGATAAGAGGAGTGGATGGCTAACAAAGGCAAACGGAATTTGAAGTACGAAGCCCATTGAATAGCCAGTGCCTGAACAGCTTCATTTCCTGCAGTGCATTTCCGCATCTTTCCGAAGGTTCTGTCCCATGTGAACTACGGAATTACCTTCAAGGCTGCTTCAAAAGCTTCGTTTTACCTAGGAACCAAAACGCGCTCACTGATCATTTGCACTGTCGTGGTGTAGAAAAGGACCAGGTATTGCTCAAGCTAGGCCTTTTCAACCCCTTCTCTTACCTTTTCAACTGGGTAAGACCTGTGGTAGACCTTTTCTTTTGGATAGTGCCTAGTTTGGATACAGAATGGCTTCCGAATCCGATTTGGAAGACGATTGTCTTGGAGCCCATCAAAGCGCGGTCTAACCACATCTCGCTTTCTAATTGTGCATAAATTATTTTGGAAGTTTTTGAGAGCCTAAAAGTTGAATGACATGGTAGTGAATTCAGTTTTACAGGAAATGGAATGCAGCGTACGTATAGTAAGTAATTCGGAAGGACCTGCAAGCTTTTTCTCCTCATACCCATGGTGCAAATCTTGTTTTCGCTCGTTAGAATAATAGAAAGTCGGTCGGGTGGACACACAACACACAAACGATATTCTTCTTTCTAAGTGAACCAATTCAAGTGTGTGCTTTTTGCCTCATCGTTATTTCAAGGTGCTTATTCGGTCCCTGGCAAGAAGCCGGAAACCTCTACGGAACAGGTTTTTGTTTATGTACGGGTGGATCAATGAGACCCAATCTCACCACTTTGCTTTGGCTGTTTATGCGTCACTTCCATTTACGACGGCTCATCACACTATGAGGCTTCGGGCACTATGTTAATGGATATTACTGCTTCCAAGCAAAACGTTTTTGTGTCTACTCATGATTTTCTTAACTGATTCAGAAGATGAATCAGAAATGAGTCTTTTACTTTCGGAATTAATCCATTCTGTGAAAGACATTCTTTAGTTAACATCAGCACATTAAATGATAAACTCTTTCGATATCTGTCGTCAATAAAGGATCAGTACAGACTCTGAGATCAGTTTTTGTGCAAATAGGTATAAATACAATTTGTCCATGACTAATGCTAAGGAATTGGAACAAAATCCTCGAACACCTTCGTTTTGCTTGCTCTCGTCGACTTTCGCGTTCGTGACTTCGATGCCTGTAAGAAGTTAGTTTGACGAACCTTTCGAGCGTTACCCTAATTCAGTACTGATGTTAAGAAGTCCTCTAAACTGAAAATTTCTATAAATTCAAAATCCTCGACAATACTTGTTGCCGTAAGCTTGAAATGTGAGATGTTTCTGCGGAACAATAACAAAAAACGACAAACACCTCTTCCTAGAAGATTCTTATCTATTTAGAGAGATAGAAAGATATAGCCATAACCTCAAGACCACCCAGGAAAACAAGTCGTAAGATGTAAAATAAAAGCAAACTGTGGTGTTAACGAACATCTTCCAGTTGTAGGTCGGAAGAAACTTGCGACGGTTTTTGCTCAGAAGCTTCGGTTTCTACGGCTCGTCTTGACTAAAAAGTATTACTATTGCAGTGAAGCGATTGCGAAAATTAAAAAAATCTGACGCACCCGAAGAGAGAAAAAACCGAAAAGGCAGACCTTTTTTGGTAATGGCGGTTTCTCATTGGGGCTAGCAATGGGACGTTCTGAACTTTTTATACGATCCTTGGGAAGACCAGCCGTCATCACCTGAAAAAGAAATGTAACTTCCGAATCAAGTAGGGCGGATGAACTGTGTGCATATGGGAGGGGCATCGGTTCCGGAGAATTGGCTCCGTATTCATGTGACCGGCTATTTTTGAAGCACATGGAAACGCCTCATGAGCATCGAGCCTTTGGTGTTAAATTCATTAATGATACAATGCTGGAGTAATAATGAATTCCTCTCTCAGGCCCCGGTAACTTTAATCAGAATAGTAGTGGTGATTTTGAATGTGTTTGTAGCCTATACACTAACTTGCTATGGCTAGTCGATGTAAATTCAGTGCTTTTATCCTCCCATTCACTCTGCTACCAATTAACCGACCTCCGTGGAGTCGTAGGTTTGGTTAGCGAGGTATGGGATCGGTCCGAGATTCGATACCTAGGCTATGCGTGAGTATAGTACGCTCCTTGCCAGTACACCATCCCACCGAATAATAATAAGTGAATCCTATCAGAACAACCGATAAGTTTCTTAAATAGAGCTAGCTCGATACAATCGATGTGGGCGTTACGTCTGTATACTGGATATCATTGCCTTTGGTTTGTAGAAATGAGGTCTTCCAAATTTCACAAATACAACTTGATTTCAGCCAAAATACCTTAGAACTGCTTGCATTATGGTCTGATTTTTTTGACAGCGCTGGAACAAACGTTCGATCCTCGTTTTCAATGACTATCGTTGACACGACTGGAATGCTAAATGGAGGGTTTTTCTACTAAACTCAATTTGAATATCAGAAACACTGCTATAGTCAATCTATCAGAGCTGCTAATCGGCTAGACTGAAGTCATGCTAGTATTGGAATCATTACTTGATAACGACTTGCCTTTCGCTTGTTAACACAGGCATTTCAACAGCATCGTCGCGTCCCGTGGAGATGTTGCTATTCTCTGGAGCCAGGGATGGTATTTTGCGCCTTAATTTATTCGTTGAATAAATTTCTTGAACAGTGAACAATTCAAAGGCATTTACACCACGATACAAGATGATACCTGATTTGTTTCATTCTTGGCTGCCCTTCTATGAACATCTTTGCTATCGACTCCATACGCTGAAAAGAATCGCAATCACAATGTGAGATTGGCTAGGCTGAGGGAAAGGTAAGGGCGGGAGATATCTGTCATTTTCCTCGTTAACTGCTTGAAGGAATATAATCACCTGCTCTCTTCACCAATTCCCTCCCTCCTTTCTAACGTTTCTCAACAGACTTCCTGCACCAAATCAATTATTCAAAATCGGAAACCTGAGCTATGTTTGGCTTCAGAAAGCGAAACTAATAGAGCGTCTTCAATTTCAAATCAAACTACTAACGTAATATGTATCGTCCCCGTCTGCGCATTCCAAATGGTAGTCGCATGGTTTCCGAGTATTCAGACAACAGGCTTTTGCCATGCCATTTCCACAGAGGTAATTACGAAACAGAGGACATGGTGAACCGTACTCTCCTCCGTCACACGAACAAAGTAGGGCAGACGCAACTCTTTGGCGTTCTGGAAGATTCCAGATAAATAGCGTCGTACACGTCGTTAGCGATCAAATGCTATGTTCAACTTGATTTTTGTACACATGGTGACCGCACGTTGAAAATGGTGCATTCATGACAAGCTGAGAAAGAGATTCTAGAAACTGCCTCCACTTTTTCAGTGAATACAAGTACTTACTTTATCGTAGTCGTTAACATCTAAAAAATAAGAAAGGACAAACACTACTTGCTCGATGAAAGAAATGCTTACCCTCTTCTGGAATTACCAGCAAATCATGTGTGGTAGGAAGCACATCATAGGGGCTGACCCAGGCGCTCACAGAACCTGAAGTTAAGAACAAGTATGAATCAGCCTGTCGACCAGAGACTCTCACATCTAACCATAAACCCGACTAGACAACAGCTCGTGCTAATACGAGGTGTGAAATAGACTCTAACAACCCACTTTCGGATGGCCAAGGAACCTTGCTTTTAGAAAAGTGAACTCGGTAAGGGAAATGTGGGCTATTTTCCCAATCAGTTGCGCCAATATATCCGTACAAGTAGGGAAGAACATTTCCTCGTCCAGGAGTAGTGTCGAGATTACGTAACTGAAACATTAGTGATTTTTTCTTCGAGAACTGCAAGTAGAGAAAAGCAACTAGAGAAAAACGTTAAAAAGTGTTGCAAAACGTTCATTCGACCGTTTCGAGCCAACACTGCGCACATTTCAACTGAAAAGTGTATACGGGACCAGATCCCCTAGAACCGTTCCTAAAGTGCCACGGTGAGAGCATTGAAACGATGGAAAGTTCCTACCACTTAGGAAACGACGTAGCCGCTGCGGGTAATGTGGACTATCAGCGACGGCCCAATAAACGCGAGAAGCTAAACTGTATGTATGCATTGTCCTTTTGACATCTGGAGACAGGGATACGCAAATGAAAATTGCACCTGAGATTAGTGAGGCCCGTGATGACATTAGGAGAGCAGTGACGGCTTAACGCGGCTAAATAGGATTAACCGTGGTGCATAAGATTAGTCATACATTCTGCTGCTGGTCATTGAAGGGGGCTTCTCTACGTCTAACCACACCCATAGACGTAGTGAACTGCGTCTATGATTGTATGGCTAGGCGCTGAGGGGTCAACAAAAAGGGAAGTTCTGAACTTCCCCTGTCGGTGGAGCCTTGAATGCGAAAATTGAAGTCGACGAAAGGAAGGACTGGATGGTAGGCTCGACAAAATGCTGATCACCTCGGCGAAGCCCTCAGGTGAAAGGGACGGTGAAGTCTTGTAAGAGCAGGTGTACCTACGAATGTGCAGCATAATTTCCGTGTAGAAGAAGAATGTGACTACTAGCGCTTAAAGCTGGCTGATTTTATGGTTTGCTACGGATTTCCAAACAGTGGACTTCAAAGTTACTCATATTTTCTGCATAGCGTACCTTTTCCAAGTAAAACACACTCACATAAACTTTATCTCCGGCGTTATACCGTGGAGGAGCTGGCGTAAACCGCTCGCTATTCTCGACTTCCTCTTCATCCTGTTCATCGCGCTCAACATCAACATGTTCATCATCGTCATCAACAGAGATATCCTCTCCTTGTAACCAAGGAGGAATTTTGTGGTCAGAGAGGTTGTAAGGCTTGCGATTGAACATACGCTGTAAATCCAGCATAGGCTAACACGATACCGTCAGGGAGTAATTCTGAGTGAGGCACATAAACATTCCTTACCTCGAACGGGGATTTCTTCCCTGACTGATTAAGAATCATCGTGGTAAACTGAACCATTTCGACCCATCTGTGTTTACTTTGAAGCTCGAATGTTGCATGGTCATAGAGGGTTTCGAGGAACACGTTGTAATCAGGTGTCTTGAATACATACATCAGCACATGATTGAAAATGTTAATTGAACAAAGTGATCTTCACGGAAGGTAACAACCAACTACCCATGCTATAAAATTCTCTTGACCGCAGCAGACGGCTAAGTACTTACATCGTACAGAATTTCTTTCATATTCACTCGAAATATACCATTGAGAGCGCTGATAACGTCACGAATCAAGGTTACGGAATGACTGCAGCTGAAGCCTTCTGTAACTTTCGTTGTGAAATTTCAGATAGTGATTATAATTATTTACAAGATTTTGAGTATTGCACAATTATATCTGCAAAACTGGTATCAACGGACAACTATTCTAGACATCGGGATATCGGTAGTAACTGTAATGGAAGGCTTGGGCAGATATCAACCCGTATTTTGAACCATAGGCCATGTGTGTAGTTTGCTTTCCACCACACCACCTCTACCGCACTACTTCTAGTTGACCAGAAACTATGACGTAAACTCGCCTGGTACTCCGAACTGCAAAAATATATCCGTTAGGATTCGGATAAGCAACTGCCTTGGCCCAATTTCGGGAATAGGCTTCGCAAAAATGTACCCAGTCTTTATATCAGTAATTATTAGGATATGCGAATATATAGTATTTACATAAACACTGCTATCAGCATTAAGCAGATCAATCTGAAAAAAGTGCAATTGGAGAGATCAAAGGGCCGATCGTCGTGAAAGAAACTTCGAAGATGTTCACGTCACCTGCACATATTGCATGGGCCGATCGGCAGGATGATCGGGTGCCTCAGGAAAGACCACATCAATAGGTCGGTTAGGCTATAAGGATAAAGGGTTAGTTTAGTCTACAAGAAACAAAAACGTGACAGGCATGCAACACCATGCCAGTTCTGGTCTGTTTTGAAGTCTCAGAAGACAATAGTTTTACATGTCTGAACTTTCCCAAAGTAACGCCTCACTCAACCTACTATCATGAGCCATCCGTGTGGCTCGTGATAGGAACCTTGCTCTTGAGGTACAGTCGGCTACGGTAAGTCGATGGTAGATATAATTCGTGAAAAGGAGTGACAAACAACTTTTGATTCTGATACTTCCCAAGCATGAGCTTTGAGTAACCGTAAAAAGGTAATGAATTGTAAAACTACTTGAAGCCTCAAGTTATCGTAATGGATACGATTAATAACAGAATGTTCAAGACAAAAAAAGTGGTAGAACTGGTAGAACACATTGATTGTAGAGTTCATTGATTTAGAGTTAGCAAATTAAATACAATTATAAAAAAGATGAAAGGTCTCCAGCCACCGCTAAAAAAGTGAGAACAGCTGCGGGCAACTAACATGAATCCAAAACATTTACGCCAGGAAAAGCAAAGCCGTTAGCGTCATGTACCCCTCCAATAAGTAAGAAACATACCAAGGAATCGCAATCAAGTTCGAATCCTTCCTCGTTGGTATCGCGATATTCTCGAGCATGGCCATAGTGAAAAAGTTGGTAAAATGCATCCACGTGACTAAAAGAGAGCAACTTTTTAAAACGACGGACAGTTTGGAACGGATTTAAGGCAAACGATTATGATGCAAATCAGAATATGAAAGAGCAAGAGAAATAGGATATTATGTGAAGAGAGCAACATGGCAGGAAGTCGACAATAACCTGAGAATATCAAACGTGTCGGACCACTACATCTTCACAATGATTCTTAAATGTGCACTCAGGTGGATGATGGGCCTCTCGTAGAATGGAAATGGAAAGCATAGCGCCATCTGGAGCCTCGGTTAGCATTAGCAAAGTTCTTTCACAAACAATATCCTGCTACAGCAGCGTTCGCCCATGGCACTAGTGTTGGTTAAAGGGTTGCTCGCCATAAGACCGAACTTTATTTGGCGATGTTGTGCATTCAAGAAACAATCCCAACAAATTCATGTTCACAACATCTAAGAGCAAGAGGAACTAGAAAACGGAACTTCGACATCCAATGTGATGGCTTCTAAGGCGACCAAACATACTCAAACGACTGAATCCAACTACTACAAGAAACAGCCGTCGCTTTCCTTACAGGGAAAAGTCGAAGAAGTAGTGTAGGATGGAGTATAGAAGCAAGTATGCAACTTACCCTGTCTTTGGCTCGATTCTGAAAGAGATGTGAGCTGGACACTGGGCTCCTTCCTTCATCATTCGAACATGGGGCAGCTTATGCCTAAGTACAACTACTTTTGCGTGACAAAGTCTTGAATGCAGTATTATAAAAGTGAAGTATTGAGGAATTCAATAAATGAATAAATAAAAGTAAGGAAAATTCAAACCTTCTTGATTGCAGGATGATTTTATGTTCGCTCTTTGAACAATGCATAATCTGTCGCCTATTGTGCGGCTGCTTTGTATGCATCATGAAGCGACAATTACAGAGGATTTCGACCAAATGGCGGAAACGCTGGATGTGTGATTTCAATAGAGTTAACTAATTTTATTCATATTCGACTTACTTCGAATTCGCCAATGTTCGCAAATGTTCGAAAATGCATTTCAATAGGCATTTTGTGATCGATCTGAAGAAGACGGTTAACGGCTCATAAAGAAAAACAAGATATGCCAACGAACTCACAACAAGATGTTTTCTTAGAACCGTCATGGATGCATATATCTCACGGCAGTGTAAGACAGGACATATGTGGTTATTCTATAAATATAGTTAGAAATAATTTCAATAAATGGTGAAGGTCAAATTTTCGGTTTATGTACTGATGAAGTTGCCGCAGCCATGTAAAATCGTAGTGGAAAATACCGAAGCTTTTTTCTGAGCAGAGCTTTATAAAGCTTCTATCGTTTGACTGCTTTTTTAATCACTTTATAAACAGACGCGATCAATACGACTAAAAATCCGAACAAATAGCTGAATATAGACGAAAGACAACTTCTTCAAAAACGCGACATTTCATACTACGAGCATTCCTGCTTTCATCGCAGATGGTACGGCATTATGACTATGAACTCCTGCTCGTTCATAAGTAGGAACGGCTAATACGAGCTTTTGATCCTAACCGGTAGCCCCTTTGCATTTTGGTTTTTTTTTNTTTTTTTTTGCGAGAAGCGAGAAAAACTATTCTCAGAAAAATAGAGTCGTTCGGTTTTGCTCCTTTTTTCTTCTGAAGACTCGAACTATGTAAATGTAAACGTGACTGTCTACGCGATTGTCACCGGCGTACGTAACGTTTCTAATCAAAACAAAAAGGGAATGAAAGACATACGTTATAAGACCCATGAACTTTGTAACGATGATGGGCGTAATCTGCCTTTGTCTCAAATTCAATCGTGTCACCAAGCTCCATACAAATTCTACACAAAAATGTGCCATTCTCTGTTTCCATCGGTTGGTACAGCTAAAAACAAAAATGGCGGTGTAGACGGCAATACCAGTATAGTAAGATCATGGAAAATCCACTACTTTGAAAATACTGGCCTGGAAAATAAAGTTTTGGTCATGCTGGGTATGGACCATATTGTCGTACTGGTAAACGTATTGTCTGTCCTCCGATAAATCACCTACTTCTTCGACAGCTTCCGCAAGCAAATCATCGGTAGCAATCACTTCGATCTAAAACGAGTCTTTTACCTAATCGATCTACAATCATTCATTCTAGCATAACCCTGACTGATACCATTTCATTCGACATGTCCATGTACTCTCTTCTTAAGGATTTTGGCTCCATCACTGCTTGTGAGTACATGCGATTCTGAAAACTGAGCCTTTTTATTGGCCATATACCTTGACAGCTTTCAGAAGAGGTTAAGCGATAACCCACAATGAGAACAAGTGCCTCACACACGGAACATTATCTTTTAGATCACATATTCTGTGTGAAGCACGGCCTTGCATTTAATGTGTTGTTAGAGCTACCGAACTAAAAATCACTAGCCGGAACAGCTCACTAATGCCATTCCCCGGTGGCAAAACTTGAGGACCTTTAGAATCGCGTATTATGGTATCATGAATACGTGAGCTCTGCGTACTGGCATACTTGCACCACCAGGCATACAACCCACATACGCATTCAATACGTCACCATGACTCTGATCTGAAGTCGGATGCGTGGGCGCATCCCTCTTATGAGATTGGTTGACACCCCAACACTTTATCCCTTCTTTGAAAAACTTCTAACTCAAATAGCAATTTTTTGGATGCGAACCCATGCGGATTAACTGCATGGAAGCTTGTAGGATCGATCCCAAAACAGCAACGGAACTCTGCTCCTTATGAGCTTAATACCGTGTAAAAGAAATAAACTGCATGAATTCGTAGGTAAGGAAGATGCTTTGACTAACAGTTGGTTCCACTATAAGTTGGCAAAAGACAAGTGACATAGGTGAGGGGCAGTTTTATAAAGCCGCCTGTTTGAATGAAACTCCCCGGAGCACGGGAATTTCCCGATTGACCCTTTGTGTTATTTCATTACGAAGTGATCTTTGGCTACTCAGGAATCTCAGAATGACTGCGTCATTTTGGGTTAATCACTGATTAAATGCATGCTGACAAGTTCATTTGAAATGTCTTGGTGAAACTCCTTAAATTGTACTAGTACGCACTCAAGGTATCAAGCTGAAATTAAGGAGTTTTTCAAAGAAAAATGACCTCTTCTTCACGATGTTGTTGAACCTGCTCGTGAGATTCCATAAGTCCGGAGTGCTCTTCATTTTGGCGACCATCTGGCGCAGGACGATCTAACATTCAGAGCGTCTTATGGATCCTAGAATAGCGAATTCTTATGGAGGCAATGGTCATTACTCCTACATCATTTCCAATCGTTCCACAGTTAAAATGTGCGACATGAACGCTTCCACATAAAACCCTAAACTCCTCAACTACAAACCAGAGAAAACCCACTTCTTTTGGCGTTTTCACAGGTGCGAACTCTCACGGAAAATTCATCAAAGATTTAAACTGCGTTATGAGGATAGGGATCGTGAACTTACCTTTACCCTCCGATCTCTGAGCCGTCAATTGAAAAGTGTTGTACGGTTCGCAGACGGAACCTGCCAAATTACGTGTAAGTCTGCGACAACACTTGCGATGCTATGGCATGCGATTTTCTATCCTTCTATTCAGAACCAGTTCTTCAATCGATCCCCTAAGTAAGAAATGTTCGGTGGGGGACTTGTCTGTGATTTCCATGGGAAGGTGCAGTGTCTCATGAGATCTCTGATTACAACTTTGACTCAGCTTCACAAACACTTCTCTGAACTCGGGAGTCCTGCGAAGTGTGCCGAGAATTTAATTCTGGCGAAATCAATTTATGATTTCTTGGAGTGTGTTTTGACTTCTGAGTTTGTTATTATCATCATTTGAAAGGGCAGCGGCAGCCCGCTGCCTTTGGACGGCTTTCGTGCACGTTCTGCGTTGTGGGCGTGGTGGGGAAGGCGCTCGCTGCACACGGAATTCAATCTGGCAACTAGTGCTTGCTGCGCTTATTGACTTTATTCACGAAGCAGTCTTACTCACGTTTAATGCTAGGGTGCTCGAACCTTTTATTTGCATCCGTCGCGGGCTAAACTCTCAGCGAATTGTTTTATTTCTTTTAGATGGAAGGCCCTTTATCGAAATGGACCAATATGGTTCATGGCTGGCAATATCGATGGTTTCGTCTAGAAGAAGATGCATTACTATATTACACATCCAGAGAAAAAATGCTCAAAGGTCAACAACGAGGTCAGTTCAGGGTTCCTCCAAAGGTTCCCCTACTCGTTTCATTTATTGATTTTGTCTTGTTTTGTTTTTGTATATCTTACTAAGATTTTTGGAACTGCTTCGTTTTTTTTGTCCTCTACGAAGCACTACCTATGCTGTCCTTTCCAAATATTGACAGCGGAAGTGGCCTAGGAGCTC